AATCGTATTGTTGCTAAGTAAATCCATGGTTTCCCCACACCTTGAATAGTGCATGCAGTTCTAGTTTTCCCATCTCAAAAAAGATATTAGAATTGGAAAATGTAAAGACAAAGGCAACAAAAATAATTAGGAGTATGGAACAGTTTCCATAACAGGAGAGATTGAAAAGATAGGGACTGTTCAGTTTAGAAAAGAGATGGCTAAACGGGGATCTGGTAAAGGTCTATAAAATCATGTATGGTGTGGAGAAAGTGAATAGGGAAGTGTTATTTACCCCTTTACATAACATAAGAACTATGGGTCACCTGATGAAATTAATAGACAGCAGGTTTAAAACTAAGAAAAGAAACTACTTCTTTACATAATGCACAGTCAAGTTATGTAACTCATTGTCATAGGATGTTGTGAAAGCCAAAAGTATAACTGGATCCAAAAAAGAATTAGATTAGTTCATGAAGGAGAAGTCCATCAATGGCTATTAGGCAGGATGGTCAGGGGCAGAACTTCATGTTCATGGGTGTCCGTAAGCGTCTAACTGCCAGGAGTGTGACTGGACAACAGGGGATGTGTCACTCACAATTGACTTGTTCTTTCATTCCCTCTGAAGTATCAGAAACAGGATACTGGGCTAGATGGACCATTGATCTGATGCAGTATGGCCATTCTTTTGTAGTTGCTGACAGGGCTGGTGAGAGAAATCTCATCCATGGTCTATGCCCCAAAACCTTGACCGTTTTATTACATGGTTGTTATAGTAACTTTAAGTGTTTGAGAAAAGACTGATCTCTCACCTTTTTCACCCCCTCCTCCATCATTCCCCACAACATATAGCTCCTCTGCCAACATTTCCGGGTCCCCTTTCCCATCCCCTTTTTCTATTAGTTGCGTCTGTAGAAGTTATTAACATATAAGAAATTGCTCCTTGCAGTATTGAGCCCTATATTGCCATGTATATATGCATATCACAGGCAATAGCTTACTGGAAGGCTGCACACTACCTTGGTTATGTAGCCCAGACTGCACACTGGACTGGTCCCTTTATTCCTAGTACCCCCTGTACTGCCAGGAGGCATAGACAATTTCAAGACAGTCTATATAAGCCCACAGATTTCAGATCACTTAGAAGAGTCATTCTTCAAACAGGAAAGGCTTCCCAACCTTAGCTACAGCAGAGCTGGCATTCCATGATAATATTGTATTATTGTATTACCCCAAATCCCAGCTTACATAGGGAAGTAAGGAGAGGAGCTCAGACCACCTCCCCACCCCAGATAGGCAAGCTACTTCCAAGAACCTGACTCACCGGAGTGGGGCAAGGAGGGGGTCATCACACTCCTGTAGATGATCATGGTGGACACACAGGAGAGGAATGTGGGGCTGATAAGCATCCCTGCTCCTATTCTCCTGAGTCCCCCTTTCATTCACCCCCATGGCCCTCTTTCTAGTGTCCCACCCATCCCCTGTTATTCATACTAGTCCCCCTGCCCATCACCTGAACCCCCAACTCCTCTCCCCCTATTCCCACCTACTCTTGCACCCAGTCATCCACCCTTCCCAATGAGCATTTGCTTGTGTAGGGATTTAAAAAAAAAAAGTTTAAGAGCCTTCTAAATATTCTGCTGTACTCAGAATACATTTCCCCAAAATAAAACGCCTCCTTTGATAGAGGCATATTGGAGAAATATGCCTGCTTTTTTTTCCACAGTGCCTGGGGTTGTGCTCAGATTTGGTGACTGAAATATATTCTCAGAGCCACCCACATCCTGGGATAAAAAGGTAGTTTTCCAAATAGTTACCCTCTTTCTATGCATGTTTAGTGTAATCCCTTAGGCATGTGAGCCTCAGCACAACTAATTGGAGATGCAAACGCTTTTTCAAATCATGTTTTAATTTGTTTCCCCCCCAAGGGCTGGTTGGTGCCATACACTCTAGTGGGGTAGCCCTCGAGCATTTGAAACCCAGGTATAATGATTTGATCTCTAATTGTGAGCAAAAGAACATTGCCAGAATGTATCAACTTTAAAAAACAGCTGTTTTGTTTTTCAGGGGTTGTATCTTAGGAGCCTATTCATTAAATGGCCCCAGATTTGGATCACTGGCCGTACCCCATGTCGCCATGAGGCTCACCAAATTTCAAGGCAATCTGATTAACTGTATAGTTTGTAGAGCTCTTAGAACAGTCAAGCTTTAAACAGAAAGCTGGAGCTGGTCTTAACCTAAACTGTTGCCTTGCTATAGTAGTGCTGTAAAGAGGGATCACAGCCTATTGTTCTGCTGATATGCGGTGCAGTGCAGAAGTTTGTAAATCAGTATCAGGTAGCTATGCATGTGAGTCAGTTTATATTCAGAGTTTGTGAGGTGATCTATACATGGGTAGGTAGTTCAGATGTTTGTTGTCGCTATGTCATATTTTCAAGGAAAGCCAGACTCATTTAGTGCTGGTGTTTTAATATTTTAGTTTGAGGCCAAGGTAGTGTATCCATTGCTGACTTTTTGTTTGTTCGCTTTGTTGTTGTTGTTTAATATGCTGTGAGTAGTGTGTTAAGAACAATATTTCCTCAAACTGGTCCTAAGATCATTGGATTTGGGCTGTGATTTGTTCTATATCTCATATTCCTTGTTCTTTTCTAATCACATCTCTTTTGTGAGCCAGACCATGGTGATATATTTCCTATCAGCTCCCATTAAAATTTGAACAGATTTCATTTTCTTAAATTTCCCAGAAAGTATGGTAGTGCTTGGGATTTTTAGCAAACTGTGTGCTAAAGGCATGTTGTAGGCTGTTGTGAACATATCACCGGAAACATGGGTGTTTAATCCTCAACCACTAACTTTTAAATGGCAAAGGGTCTGATTTTCTTCTGTCTCTCTACTTTTATACCAGTGTGTCACAATTGAGTTGCACAACAAATAAATAAATAATGAATAAATGTCATAATTCATTAAGTCATAATGAGGCATTCCTGATTTACAGCAATATAAGTGAGAGGAAGCAGGGCAATTACATATCGAATGACCATATCTATTAATAAATAAATAACAAGAACACATTCTGAGGAAATTAAAACCATGCTGTGGGAAAGATGATAATATGTAGTGTATGTGGACAAAATGTGTATTTGAAAGATAAAATTATGTGTACCAGTAAAGCAGTGCTTATGTATTACTGAAAAGCAACAACATTGCTGCATTTGTTACCTCCAGCAGCCTGATAAGAAGCCATATGGTGTAAGCAGAGATATTAGAAGTTAGAAAGTCAGCATAGTATTACAGTAAATTATGACTACAGACTACTGTGAGAAGCATCTCCAAGTGATGGTTTTCCCTCAGTGTCAACAAAATCATCAAAATGATCAGCTTCATTCAAAAATATTATTATTTTTTATCAAAATAACTGATCTTAAATACTGGTCTTTTGCTTTCTGATTTGTTTGGCACAGCTTCAGGCCAAGTACTTCTAGCTCACCAGGAAAACGGATGCTGGTTACATTGTGGAAGCTGGCATCCTTTACCTGAGATCACAGATCTTATTAGGAGATGTGAAGTTATAAGAAAAAAATGGAAAAGAAAACAAAGCAGCAGAAGCACCAGTGTGAAGGAGTAGGAGAACTCTTTCCCTGCACCTACTCTAAAACTTAAAACCAGTAAGGGGGAAGAAGGCTTTTCTAAATATGTAGGGCCTAAAACTTGATCCAGCTAACTGTGCTTGATACAAGTATGCCAACTATACAGCTCCCGGATCATAGGCTCAGCTAGAGGTCAGTATGTCCCCTAGTGCATGTTTGAGTAGACTTACAGTCAGGGATCACTATGTTTCTGAGGTACTTTCCCTCCCTGCAGATTTTTTCCTACAAGAGGTGAGCCTTGGGTTCTTAGGCCCAGATCATCAAAGTCATTTAGGCACCTAACTCCCATTGAAATCACCTAAATACCTTTGCAAAAAGAAAAGGAGTACTTGTGGCACCTTAGAGACTAACCAATTTATTTGAGCATGAGCTTTCGTGAGCTACAGCTCACTTCATCGGATGCATACCGTGGAAACTGCAGTAGACATTATATACACACAGAGACCATGAAACAATATCCCCTCCCACCCCACTGTCCTGCTGGTAATAGCTTATCTAAAGTGATCATCAAGTTGGGCCATTTCCAGCAGAGGCTCGTTCACCTGCACATCCACCAATGTGATATATGCCATCATGTGCCAGCAATGCCCCTCTGCCATTTACATTGGTCAAACTGGACAGTCTCTACGTAAAAGAATAAATGGACACAAATCAGATGTCAAAAATTATAACATTCATAAACCAGTCGGAGAACACTTCAATCTCTCTGGTCACGCAATCACCGACATGAAGGTCACTATCTTACAACAAAAAAACTTCAAATTCAGACTCCAGCGAGAAACTGCTGAATTGGAATTCATTTGCAAATTGGATACTATTAATTTAGGCTTAAATAGAGACTGGGAGTGGCTAAGTCATTATGCAAGGTAGCCTATTTCCCCTTGCTTTTTCTTACCCCCCCCCCCGACGTTCTGGTTAAACTTGGATTTAAACTTGGAGAGTGGTCAGTTTGGATGAGCTATTGCCAGCAGGAGAGTGAGTTTATGTGTGTGTGTGTGTGTGTGTGTGTGTGTGTTCCCCCCCGGGGGGAGGGGTGTGAGAAAGCCTGGATCTGTGCTGGAAATGACCCACCTTGATTATCATGCACATTGTAGGGAGAGTGGTCACTTTGGATGAGCTATTACCAGCAGGACAGTGAGTTTGTGTGTGTGGTTTTTGGAGGGGGGTGAGAGAACCTGGATTTGTGCAGGAAATGGCCCACCTTGATTATCATGCACATTGTGAAGAGAGTTGTCACTTTGGATGGGCTATTACCAGCAGGAGAGTGAGTTTGTGGGGGGGGGGGGCGGAGGGTGAGAAAACCTGGATTTGTGCTGGAAATAGCCCAACTTGATGATCACTTTAGATAAGCTATTACCAGCAGGACAGGGGGGTGGGAGGAGGTATTGTTTCATGGTCTCTGTGTGTATATAATGTCTACTGCAGTTTCCACGGTATGCATCCGATGAAGTGAGCTGTAGCTCACGAAAGTTCATGCTCAAATAAATTGGTTAGTCTCTAAGGTGCCACAAGTACTCCTTTTCTTTTTGCAAAGACAGACTAACACGGCTGTTACTCTGAAACCTAAATACCTTTGAGGATCTGAGCCTTAGATCTAAATCTTAATTGTTCCTATGCAAGTGTGAAAGGGCTGAATGAAGAGAGGTACTAGAGTCTTTCCCCCTCTCCTTGTACAGCCATGCAGAGGGCGCAGGAATGCTAGTGCTTCTCCTGCCTGAGCATGAGGGGGTTGAGGATGGCTAGCACATGTAGCACTGCTGCACAATCCCCGAGTCATGGCCAGGAGGATTGTTCAGAGGGGTAGGAATTGCCTTGGGGTGCTCTCCTTTTTAGCAACCCTGTAGGCCTTCTGTCTAGTTCAGCATTCTGTAGGCAGAGTGCCTCCAGCAACTGTTGCTCTGGTGCTCCACCTCTTTAACTTACTCTGCCCGCTCCCCAGAGCGGTTCTGGCTGTGAAAGCCAAAACAAAACAGATTCCTAAGTACATTTTACCTTTGGTTATAACTCAGTGTTTAATGACTTTCACTAACATCAACAGAGTGTCTGTCCTATCTTTCTCATAACAAGAGGACAATAACTTTAAAATAGATCATGTAGGAAAACCGTGTGAGTTTTCTTGCTGGTGTGAACAAACAAAATCAAACTCAAATTAGAAGGCAGTAAAACACTTTAAATAGATAATACTGATGAACAGCAGTGCTGATTCTGTCCATGTGCATGTAAGCAATTTTATGAAGCTAATTTCTTCATTCATTTATCCAGGTGCTCATACAGGCCTCCTCCCTGGTTCTTGCTACTTCAAGTGGTTTCTTCCCTCTACTCGCAAGGGCTGGGTCCTGACTTCTTTTTCGTGCTGCCTGGTGTCTCCACCTCAGGCGACTTTTCCTTGTGCCCAGGACACAAAGGGTGCTGTCCTTTGGGTAAATGAATAATGTAACCACCGCTGGCAAGGAGTATAAAACCCAGTACACCAAAAAAAACCAATCAACACAGACCCCAGCAAAGAAATAACACCCTCCCTCCCAAATAACAATTTAACAATGGGGGGCTTTACTGGGAGCAAGAAAACAGTATTTGGGGAAGACAAGTGCTGGGTTAACTAAAAAATACTAACACATCCAAAAATCAACAAATTTCCAACCTCCCAATACTCCCAACTCTTCCCAACCCCCAGATCCCTCCCTGGCACCTTCCCGGGCAGAGGGTATGCTGAAGGTGAGCCCCAGAGATGAGTGTGGCAGTGCTGCGGATGTTGGCCACCTAAAACAAACAAAGTGTTTTCTTACAGTGTCTTCTCTCCTGGGTAGAGCAGGTTCCTCTCTTGGCTCCCTAGTCTGGGAATCCTGTGGAGGGCTCAGTTGGCTCTCAGAAGTCAAGCTGGATCTGTCACTCTGGACACTGGTCTCTGCAGGGCTGGTATTTCCTAACTCATACACTTTTGATCCCAAAGCAGTTCAAAGACTCCCTTTGTGGATGGTTGAGTTAATCAGAGGATCCCTGGGCTGTTTTGCTTCTCTCTCTGTTCCCAAAAGCTCAAAAAAATCCTAAACCTAATCTCTTTATCTCTGAGTCAGGCTATCCCCTTGGACGGAAGGGCTGAGCAGCCCTGGCTCATCTTTGGCCCAGCAAACTACTTGTCCATATCACCCCATGCAGAAAGCTCCCTACTGGCCTCAGCAGGAGTTTCTAGTCCATTCCTGACTCCAAGTATTCTGAGAAATGGTGACAGAGGGCTGGTGGTAGCTGGTATTGTTGTAATCCATAGGATAGGACCACCTAAAGGCTCAGTATGGGGTTTTAGGAACTGGCAAACTCCAAATGGGGGTTACAGTAGATTGTATAAATAGTAGTAACATTAATGCAAAGTGGAGCGTAAGAACAATTTTTAGAACAAAAATGCCTGGTTGCTAGGTTACAACATAGAGCTATGGGTGGTATTTAATGAAAGAGAATATTTATGAAACTAACTGCTTGCATCTCATGCAGCATGGACAACTCAAATGAAAAGGCACTGTGGGGGAACATGCAGCCTCCACTTCTGCAGGTGGGAGAGATCCTTCTGGCAGAGGGTGGGGGACAGAACTGAGAGGTTGATGGTCTGTGCAGAGGCTGTGCATCCCTTGTGCTGCATAGATCCAAGCTCCCTGACGAATCTCTGTGTGGCAGTGTGTAAGGCAAGGGTAAGGTTGGGCTAGAGAACATGCCCACCTCTGAGCTTCCTACCAATGAGTTAGAATCCTTTTGCTGATGTAGCCTCCACAGAGTGGTTCTGCATCTGCTCCACTGCTTGCAGGGAGAAAGCATGGGGAAAGATTCCTTTCTCTCTGCAGAGGCACCTAGCACACAACTAAAGCTAAGTGTTGGGTCCTGGGATTCTGCCATATGTAAACTGCAGTGCATTATCATTAACCACTCATGGAATTAAATAGCCCACTTTGTCAGCACATTCACCAAGTACAATATTTTACATTTAGGCAGCAGAGCTTTAGTGGCATTATTCTTTTAAGGAAAGAGCGCAATTATGTTACTAACAAGAAATGGGTTGGCATACGTCAAGAATTTCTGCTATGAACCAATGCACGTTACCTCTCTTTAGGATGTGTTTATAACACAGCTAAGTTCAGTAAATCTCATAGGCCACATGGGGTCCACACTTCAGGAGAAACTAAAATATGAGATGGTTTGAACTAAAGACAATATGCAGAAAATAATGCATCTCTCTAAAATATAGTTGTCCAAATTCAGTCCTTGAGTGAGCAAGCACAATACGTTTACAAATGAAGCTTCAATTTGCCCCAGTATGTATATCCCTAAAACAGCAATTGTTTCTGAGGAAAGGAAAATAGACAACTAACAGAGTATGGGATGAAATACTGTTGTGTATTAAAATCTGGCTAAGCAATAGGAAACAAAGAGTCCATAATAAATGTCAACTTCACAAAGTAGCTCAGGGATCAGAGTTCTTCAATATATTTAAGTGTTGGAAAATTAAATGGACAGTGAGGTGGAAAAATGTAACAGTAATACAATGGGCTCAGAAAGCTTGGGTTTAGGTTTTGGCAAAATATCAGTCAACATGGTTTGTTTATAGGCTAGAGGAAGACGTGAAAGACCACAATCCTTGTTAGACAGACATAAAAAGAAAGGTACTACATTTATCTTATTTGAGTAGAGTTGTTTGAGGATTTATGCCATTCACGTGGTAAACTCCAGCCAGTTCTAAATTCCGGTATGAGACAGAAAGTGAATGAAAGAAGTGAAATAATCTATTCAAACACACTGAAACATATCTTTGACGTCATTGATGCAGAAGGGACAATGAGAGTGAATGACACTCAGTGTAATGTGGCTGAGTTTAGTTAGGTTTTATGCAAAAGATATCCACAGACCCTGATAAACATTTACCCCAAGGCTGGAAGAGTGAGTCAGAAACTCTGAAACAACTTTCACAACAATCAAAAACATACACAAACCTTTACAGAAGGTACACTCTGTCTGCCATCTACTGATGCAGAAGGCCATGATGTGACCTAGCCCTGGTCTACACTAGGACTTTAGGTCGAATTTAGCAGCATTAAATTGATGTAAACCTGCACCCGTCCACACGATGAAGCCCTTTCTTTCGACTTAAAGGGCTCTTAAAATCGATTTCCTTACTCCACCCCTGACAAGTGGATTAGCGCTTAAATCGGCCTTGCCGGCTCGAATTTGGGGTACTGTGGACACAATTCGATGGTATTGGCCTCCGGGAGCTATCCCAGAGTGCTCCATTCTGACTGCTCTGGACAGCACTCTCAACTCAGATGCACTGGCCAGGTAGACAGGAAAAGAACCGCGAACTTTTGAATCTCATTTCCTGTTTGGCCAGCGTGGCAAGCTGCAGGTGACCATGCAGAGCTCATCAGCAGAGGTGACCATGATGGAGTCCCAGAATCGCAAAAGAGCTCCAGCATGGACCGAACGGGAGGTACGGGATCTGATCACTGTATGGGGAGAGGAATCCGTGCTATCAGAACTCCGTTCCAGTTTTTGAAATGCCAAAACCTTTGTCAAAATCTCCCAGGGCATGAAGGACAGAGGCCATAACAGGGACCCGAAGCAGTGCCGCGTGAAACTGAAGGAGCTGAGGCAAGCCTACCAGAAAACCAGAGAGGCGAACGGCCACTCTGGGTCAGAGCCCCAAACATGCCGCTTCTATGATGAGCTGCATGCCATTTTAGGGGGTTCAGCCACCACTACCCCAGCCGTGTTGTTTGAGTCCTTCAATGGAGATGGAGGCAATATGGAAGCAGGTTTTGGGGATGAAGAAGATGATGATGATGATGAGGTTGTAGATAGCTCACAGCAAGCAAGAGGAGAAACCGGTTTTCCCGACAGCCAGGAACTGTTTCTCACCCTAGACCTGGAGCCAGTACCCCCCGAACCCACCCAAGGCTGCCTCCTGGACCCAGCAGGCGGAGAAGGGACCTCCGGTGAGTGTACCTTTTAAAATACTATACATGGTTTAAAAGCAAGCATATGAAAGGATTACTTTGCCCTGGCATTCGCAGCTCTCCTGGATGTACTCCCAAAGCCTTTGCAAAAGGTTTCTGGGGAGGGCAGCCTTATTGAGTCCTTCATGGTAGGACACTTTACCACTCCAGGCCAGTAACACGTACTCGGGAATCATTGTACAACAAAGCATTGCAGTGTATGTTTGCTGGCGTTCAAACAACATCCGTTCCTTATCTCTCTGTGTTATCCTCAGGAGAGTGAGATATCATTCATGGTCACCTGGTTGAAATAGAGTGCTTTTCTTCAGGGGACACTCAGAGGAGCCCGTTCCTGCTGGGCTGTTTGCCTGTGGCTGAACAGAAATGTTCCCCGCTGTTAGCCACAGGGAGGAGGGAGGGTTGAGGGGGTAGCCACGCGGTGGGGGGAGGCAAAATGCGACTTTGTAACGAAAGCACATGTGCTATGTATGTAATGTTAACAGCAAGGTTTACCCTGAAAGAGTGTAGCCACTGTTTTATAAAATGTGTCTTTTTAAATACCGCTGTCCCTTTTTTTTTCTCCACCAGCTGCATGTGTTTCAATGATCACAGGATCTTCTCTTTCCCAGAGGCTAGTGAAGCTTAGAAAGAAAAAAAAATGCACTCGAGATGAAATGTTCTCCGAGCTCATGCTGTCCTCCCACACTGACAGAGCACAGACGAATGTGTGGAGGCAAATAATGTCAAAGTGCAGGAAAGCACGAAATGACCGGGAGGAGAGCTGGCGGGCTGAAGAGAGTAAGTGGTGGGCTGAAGAGAGGGCTGAAGCTCAAATGTGGCGGCAGCGTGATGAGAGGAGGCAGGATTCAATGCTGAGGCTGCTGCAGGACCAAACCAGTATGCTCCAGTGTATGGTTGAGCTGCAGCAAAGGCAGCTGGAGCACAGACTGCCACTACAGCCCCTGTGTAACCAACCGCCCTCCTCCCCAAGTTCCATAGCCTCCACACCCAGACGCCCAAAAACGCGGTGGGGGGGCCACCGGCCAACCAGCCACTCCGCCACAGAGGATTGCCCAAAAAAAAAAAGGCTGGCATTCAATAAATTTTAAATTTGTAAACTTTTAAAGTGCTGTGTGGCATTTTTCTTCCCTCCTCCACCACCCCTCCTGCGCTACCTTGGTAGTCATCCCCCTATTTGTGTGATGAATGAATAAAGAATGCATGAATGTGAAGCAACAATGACTTTATTGCCTCTGCAAGCGGTGATCGAAGGGAGGAGGGGAGGGTGGTTAGCTTACAGGGAAGTAGAGTGAACCAAGGGGCGGGGGGTTTCATCAAGGAGAAACAAACAGAACTTTCACACCGTAGCCTGGCCAGTCATGAAACTGGTTTTCAAAGCTTCTCTGATGCGTACCGCGCCCTCCTGTGCTCTTCTAACCGCCCTGGTGTCTGGCTGCGCGTAACCAGCAGCCAGGCGATTTGCCTCAACCTCCCACCCCGCCATAAACGTCTCCCCCTTACTCTCACAGATATTGTGGAGCACACAGCAAGCAGTAATAACAGTGGGAATATTGGTTTCGCTGAGGTCTAAGCGAGTCAGTAAACTGCGCCAGCGTGCCTTTAAACGTCCAAATGCACATTCTACCACCGTTCTGCACTTGCTCAGCCTGTAGTTGAACAGCTCCTGACTACTGTCCAGGCTGCCTGTGTACGGCTTCATGGGCCATGGCATTAAGGGGTAGGCTGGGTCCCCAAGGATACATATAGGCATTTCAACATCCCCAACAGTTATTTTCTGCTCTGGGAATAAAGTCCCTTCCTGCAGCTTTTGAAACAGACCAGAGTTCCTGAAGATGCGAGCGTCATGTACCTTTCCCGGCCATCCCACGTTGATGTTGGTGAAACGTCCCTTGTGATCCACCAGAGCCTGCAGCACTATTGAAAAGTACCCCTTGCGGTTTATGTACTCGGCAGCTTGGTGCTCCGGTGCCAAGATAGGGATATGGGTTCCGTCTATGGCCCCACCACAGTTAGGGAATCCCATTGCAGCAAAGCCATCCACTAGGACCTGCACATTTCCCAGGGTCACTACCCTTGATATCAGCAAATCTTTGATTGCATGGGCTACTTGCATCACAGCAGCCCCAACAGTAGATTTGCCCACTCCAAATTGATTCCCAACTGACTGGTAGCTGTCTGGCGTTGCAAGCTTCCACAGGGATATTGCCACTCGCTCCTCAACTGTGAGGGCTGCTCTCATCTTGGTATTCATGCACCTCAGGGCAGGGGAAAGCAAGTCACAAAGTTCCATGAAAGTGCCCTTACGCATGCGAAAGTTTCGCAGCCACTGGGAATCGTCCCAGACCTGCAACACTATGCGGTCCCACCAGTCTGTGCTTGTTTCCCGAGCCCAGAATCAGCGTTCCACAGCATGAACCTGCCCCATTAGCACCATGATGCATGCATTGGCAGGGCCCATGCTTTCAGAGAAATCTGTGTCCATGTCCTGATCACTCACGTGACCGCGCTGACATCGCCTCCTCGCCCGGTATCACTTTGCCAGTTTCTGGTGCTGCATATACTGCTGGATAATGTGTGTGGTGTTTAATGTGCTCCTAATTGCCAAAGTGAGCTGAGCGGCCTCCATGCTTGCCTTGGTATGGCGTCCGCACAGAAAAAAGGCATGGAACGATTGTCTGCCGTTGCTCTGATGGAGGGAGGGGCGACTGACGACATGGCTTACAGGGTTGGCTTCAGGGAGCTAAAATCAACAAAGGGGGTGGCTTTACATCAAGGAGTATTTCAGGCAGGACTTCACGGAGGGTTCCAATAAGAAATGGTGCACCTAAGTTATTGTTCTTATTGGAACAAGGAGGTTAGCCTGGCCTCTGATTGATACATGGCTAGATTTACCTCGCTGCACCTTCTCTGTGAGTGACTGCAGTGTGACCTAGAGGAATGAGTCCCCTAGACGGGGGAGGAGGCAAATGAGTACAAAACAAATCTGGTCTATTTCTTCTTTTACATCTTTGGCTGGCAGCAGACGGTGCAGAAGGACTGCATGCCATCCACATCTCATGGCTGCTCGGCAGAAGATGGTACAGTACGACTGCTAGCCATCCTCATCTCTTGCCTGCCCGGCAGAAGATGGTACAATACGACTGCTAGCTATCCTCATCTCTTGCCTGCCCGGCAGAAGATGGTACAGTACGACTGCTAGCTATCCTCATCTCTTGCCTGCCCGGCAGAAGATGGCACAGTACAGACTGCTAGCAATCTGTATCGCCTGCCTGCTCACCATAAGACGGTTCAATAGGACTGACTGCAGGACTAAAGAGAATGACCTGGTCAAGTCACTCCAAATTTAGTCCCTGCGCCCATGTCTGCCCAGGCGCTCCCAGCCGACGTGGCCAGGAGCACCTCGGACACGACGAGGACAGCTACCAGTCGTACTGCACCGTCTGCTGCCAGAAGGCAATGGGTTGCTGCTACTGTGTAGCAATGCCATACCGCGTCTGCCAGCACCCAGGAGAGATATGGTGACGGTTACCTGAGCGGGCTCCATGCTTGACGTGGTATGGCCTCTGCACAGGTAACTCAGGAAAAAAGGCGCAAAACGATTGTCTGCCCTTGCTTTCACGAAAGGAGGGAGGGAAGGGGGGCCTGACGATATGTGCCCAGAACCACCCGTGACAATGTTTTAGCCCCATCAGGCATTGGGATCTCAACCCAGAATTCCAATGGGCAGCGGACACTGTGGGAACTGTGGGATAGCTATCCACAGTGCAATGCTCTGGAAGTCGACTCTAGCCTCGGTACTGTGGAAGCACTCCGCCGAGTTAATGCACTTAATGCACTTAGAGCATTTTCTGTGGGGACACACACACTCGAATATATAAAACCGATTTCTAAAAAACCGACTTCTATAAATTCGACCTTATTCTGTAGTGTAGACATACCCCTAGAGACCTCAGTTTAAGTATATAATCTCTACATCCCAGAACCACAACCCCAAATGGATGAGATTTATGCTTTCTTCTACAGGTTTGGCATAGGGAAGGAGTGGCAAAAAACACAGCATAGACCTCAACCATTTTTGAAAAATTGTTACAACAGAGCATGTTTAAAATACCAGCTCTCCCTAGAGAAATAGAGGATTCCCTGTATAAGAAAGAACATCTGTGTCCTAATTCAGCTGCCAGATTTCTTTGGCTACAAACAGGATTCTTTCAGTAACATCAAGGTTTATTGATTTGGTTTGGTTTGGTTTTTTGCTACTGACAGCTTTTTCCACAGCTACTACAGTACACTGTGCTGTGCATTTGATCAGTTCTACCAGTTTTATTTACTGATTTGTCACAGAAATGGTATTTCCTCAGTTGAATAGCTACCAGTTAAAGAGGTAAAGAAAATGTCTGCTATGCATAGCTTAGAACCTCATCTGCCAGCTATGCAAACTTTAGTACTATTGTTCTGATTGCAAAAGAATAACCCTTGTTACAAAAGCATATTGAAGCAAAATTCTGTTCTCACTCACTCGGGTGTAAATCTAGAGGCATCCCCTTGATGGTCCTGATGTTAGAACAGAATTTGGCCCTCTTTTTATATATCAGCCAAGGCTACCAGACCTGCAGCCCCCTGGTTCTCACACCAAAACAATGATGCCTGGCACACCCATTGTTGAATCCCCAAGGACAAACATGGAAGTGACATAAGCAGTGATAGTGCTGAAGGTGCTCAAAGGAGTACAAAAGGTTAGTATGATAAGGAGTAGGACTCTGTCATCTCTTAACCTAGTAGTATCTCATTTGTAACACTGATCATAGATTTGTTGTCATGTACGTACTATTTTGGTATCCGCCCAAGAGCCTGAAAAAGCTTATATAGTCCCCTTTGGTAAACAAAAATTTTGAGGAAAGCCTACTGAAAAGTTTTCTTCCTTTTGAGCTAAAGTTTGCATTTGTGCCTGGATAGTATGGTGACAGGCACACTATAACTGCATAAATTTATATTAGGATTTAAGGGAACTCTACTGTGTTCCCTTCTTCCAAGGAACACATTGTAATATCTTAAAACAGAAGAACAGCTCAGAAAAATGGTCTGCTGTGAAAAGTTCATTACAACTGGAGTTTGGAAATAAGCACTGTTTGTGCCTTCCATTCCTTTCTGTAGCAGAAATAAATCTATAGAGATGAGGGGGTGTAAACTTGGGAATCTGTGTGCTCAGAATGAAAACCAAACTAATTTGAGCCAAACTCCTGAAGGAGCCAGTGACAAACAGAATGTCCATTCACAGCACAATCATTTCAAACAGCCGTTATTGGCATTTATGTCATTATGCTGTCATATGGAACCTCAATGAAATAACAGTGAAACAGCACACAGAATTTGATTCTGTGGATTATTGCAGAGTTTCAGTTTTGTTTCAATGAGATCTGTTTCCTGGAAATGTCCATACTTTTATACAAAACAAATGGAGCAGTCCAAGTAAACAAAAAGCAAAAAAAGGTATGCCCAACATTCAAAGTGAGACTGGGTGATTAATTCTAGTTCTAGAGAGAGACCAGTTTTAGCTGTAGTCTCTATTTTAAGTAGAGGGAATATTGCTGGAGCCAGTAATATATCTAGTCTGGAATTGCTATTTTAAGCACGCTTACTGTATGTGCTTATGTTGCATACTGTCTCTTTTTTCTATTTTGGTTGTTTTCATCCCATGGAAATGATAAGTGACTTTGGAGGGGAAAGGAGTAAGTTACTGGAATAATACTAGTCAAATAGACCAGATTATCCCTGGTCTGAATGGGAAAGATGTGTTTAAAATACTTTATACGTTGCCTTTCACACCTGAGGTTCTTCCATGCTGCTCCTTTACCTTATCCATATTGTTCTGTGTTTACATGATGACCCAAGGATGATGATAGCTTCAAGCTTCTCTTTTCAGTTTAGGTGCATGTGTTTGTTGCATCCAGGACTGTACTGTAATTGTAAACATAGAAGGGAAAATATGTGAGTTCTGAATTCAGCCTGCAAGACTGTTACTTTATTTCAAATGGAAAGCTGTGGGTTAAACTGGATTTTCATCTCTACTGCTTAATCAAAGTCTCTGTTTTTATGGAAAAAATTTCTTTTAATCTCAGCCTATTTATATGGATCAGCTAGGCTGGTATGGGTGTAAGTGAAGGCAGAATTTGACCCCATATTTTTGTGAGAAAAGTAGTTAGAGACAATATGAACAAGAAGTGCCTGTCTGTCTGTTCTAGCAGATAATGCTTATTTTCTAATAATAATGTAGGGTAATCTTAGTGGGAAATTGCTGGTTTTGCATACAGGGTCCTCTGTTTACAGCTTGGATGAGATTACAGAAGCCAGCTGCTTCTTTGCCATTAAACAAATGAAATGTCCAACAACTGTGACACAGTGACAATCCTAGTGCTTCATTACCATGCTTGACTTCTTTCATTTGATACTGTTGTATACATATTCAAAGTATCTCTGGCTTGGGGACAAGGAAAACATGGCCTACCAGTAATGTAGATCAAAAACCTGTCCACCTCTGAGCCAACTCCAAATTGGCAGCTTGGAAACAGGCTTGCAAAAGAGATAAAATCATATAATATTTGGATTCCATTCAAGGTTTTACATTTAATTGCACTTCAAGCAGAACCATGTATGTGAATTACTGAAAAGAAGAGAGTGTGATTTTTGTTTATGGGCAGTTTGCATGCGCTTTTTTCCCCAAACTTTACTATCTTCTTTTTCTGTTAACTTTTGAAATTTATACTATGCGAGAAATTAATATAAACAAGAATGATAAATGTTAGGCTAGCCAGTAGAAGAAGACACTCGTCATACCATTGGATTATTACAGAGAATGTATATTCATGAGAAGCCTATAGTACCATATTGCAGTAAAATACTGAATAGAACTAAATTGTTACATGCTGTTTGGTTTTTGCATGTGCCAAAAATACTAAAATAACAAATTTTCAGACTAAAAGATACAAACTTGTCAATTTCCCAAAGAACATCCAAACTTTAATGTAGCTGGTCCATCCATTATTCTGTACAGTCCTTCATTTCAAAATCTGCTTCCTCATCCCATATTCCAGTCTTTTATACTTATGAGCAAGTATCTTCATGCTCTTCTCAATTACCTTCTTGTAGCTCGATTCGCCTCTCATTTATGTCATATTTACAGCAGTGTAACTAACAGGCCAGATTCTCAACTGGTGTAAATCAGGATAGCTCCATTGACTGTGGTGGCGCTAAGACAGTTTACACCTGCTGAGGATCCAGCCCATTGAATTCCATGGAATTACACCAGATATATACCAATATATAAAAGAAGAAAGTCAGTCTCATTATGTAAAATATGTGCAGTTGTAGAAAGGCCCATAAGGATATTCTGACTATCAGCATATTCACAAAGATTGCATCTCTGATTTTGCTCCTACTTATATCCGTTTTACAGTGGGATAAGTCCATTGACTTTACTGGAGTTACTGTTGGTTTATGTTGATGTGAAAGCAGACTCTGCCCCTGAATGTCTGATCATAAACCAATGCCTGATTTCACTTAAATATATTTTGTTGTTAAGGCATATGATCAAGATGTGAAGTTCAGAGCCACTTCAAGGTTTGAGTTTCAAGGTGTGCATCTGGAGTTTTGGTTTGACCCACTGTAAAGATAAGGGTCATTTGCACTGTTTGTACCCAAATTCAGCTCTGGATTTCAACACCATAAAATTGTGTGTGGAGGTGGGTCACAGCCACAGTTTTCATTCACAACCGTTTCTAGAATCCACCCTTGTAATTCATACAAGATCTTATTTGGCACCCAAGCAGTATGTACTGACTTCAAATATAAACTTATTACAAGCAGACTGTCATTATGACCTCTTCCTTTGTGGGCTCCTGTCAAGGTTCCTTCCCCACTCTGAACTCTAGGGTACAGATGTGGGGACCCGCATGAAAGACCCCCTAATCTTATTATTACTGGCTTAGGTGAAAACTTCCCCAAGGCACAGATTTCTTTCTTGTCTTGGGAAGCAGCTTAGGTTAAAAACCTGGTACGCTGCCACCACCAAGCAATTTAACAAAGAATCCAGGAAGAGACCACTTGGAGACTTCTTCCCCCAAAATATCCCCCCAAGCCCTACACCCCCTTTCCTGGGGAGGCTTGAGAATAAATAAGATGAGCACAAACCAGCCTTGGATCTTTTAGATCCCTAAAAACCCAATCAGATTCTTAAAAAACAGAACTTTATTAGAAGAACAAAACAAAGATAAAAGAAACACTCTGTAAGATTAGAATGGAAGATAATCTAACAGGCAGTCAGATTCAAAACATAGAGAATCCCTCTAGGCAAAACCTTAAGTTACAAAAAGACACAAAAACAGGAATATACATTCCCTCCAGCACAGCAAATTTACAAGCCAAAACAAAGAAAACCTAACACATTTTCTAGCTAGATTACTTACTAACTTTACAGGAGTTGGAGAGCTTGCATCCTTGATCTGTTCCCGGCAAAGGTCACACACAGACAGACAAAAGCCTCTCCCCCCCCCCTCCCTTCAGATTTGAAAGTATCTTGTCCCCTCGTTGGTCATTTTGGGTCAGGTGCCAGCGAGGTTACCTTAGCTTCTTAACCTTTTACAGGTGAAAGGATTTTTCCTCTGGCCAGGAGGGATTTTATAACACTGTATACACAAAGGTGGTTACCCTTCCCTTTATATTTATGACAGCTCCTCATGCCCACAAAAAAACAAGATGAATTACCTTTTGTGGGGTTTATTGGTGGCTAATATTACATTATTTTTATTAATTTTTCCCTGACAATATGTGATTTTTGAAAGCCCACAGCATGAATAAATGGCTCCATATTATTCCATACGTAGCATATCTTAAATCTTCCAGTATATTGCTAAAGTTAGCTTAATGTCATATTATGGAGTCAATTTCTTATGTTATAACTCAGTTTTTATTCACTCCTTACTAAAGTAAACCTCTCACTGAAAGAGTCAATGAGAATTTTACATAAGAATTGTGTAAAAACTGAATGACAACTAGAGATGGGCAAATAACCGATGTTTTGGTTTGCTGCCTGTTATGGAAAAAAAATTGGAGTTCAGGTCAAACCGAAAACAACATTTTTCTGAATTTTTGATTAATTAAAAAAGTTGGAAAAGATTTGTTTCAGATCAAGCAAGGTGTTTTCTTTGACTCGAGACTGACTTCTATTTTGAGGCATATTTCATCTCTATAAAAGCAAAGGAAATGAAAGGATAGACGCACAAAACTGAGAAGGAGGAAGCTGTGGGGATGCCTGTTGTATTCCCAGTATCCCATTCCATTTGTACAAAATTTTTGAATAGCACTCATTTCAATATTTCCCTTTTTTTTTCTTTTTTTCATTTTGACTGAAACAATTCACCGAAGTCAACATGAGTTTGAGAAATGCTTCAGTCGACCCAACTCTGCATTTTTCAGTAAAAAAAGTTTAAAAATATTTTGCCTAGGTCTAATGATGACTTCAGGATTCGTTCCATGGTGCATTTTCATAATTGCCACATTTCAGGGAAATTTGGAGGCTATTATATAGCATGAAGAATTCCATAATTATATGTAGAAAGAATAGCTGAGGTTTGAAAGCCATTGAATGTTACATTTTTTTAAAAAATGCCAGTTTGATCAAGTACAATAAACTGAGCCAGAAGCACATGGGATTCTGGAAGCTACCATCAGAAGAAGTTTAATTACTCTATGGAGAGACTGAAAAATAATTGACTTTTCAACCTTGTTTGTAAATGCCATTTTTATAAAGATTAATCAAGGAACAGGATAATGGGTAGTATCAAGCCCAACAGATAAGAAACAATTGAATTAACCGTGTGTGTTCAATCAATGCATTGTCCAAGGCCTAACTTAAACTTGAAAGGTTTGATTTTTCCAAGTCCTTGTGCAATGCACAAAAGGGAGTACAGACTTGTTGCGCTCCAGTGCCTCTCCTTGGTCTCTATACAGGGTTAAAAAAAGTGAGGTGTTTGTGATGTGAAGAGGCCTTAGGCATGATCATCAGCATGTAAATGAGGTGCTTGTTATGGGCTGCCCTCACAGTCTGCAAGGCAGGTGTAGTGTGGTGGTAGCCAGTAGTGCTTTCATTAATGCAGGATCTGATTCCCTTGTGCTTCTTTTGTTCAGTTCATCGCTGTTTGCCTGTGCATAGATGTGGAACACTCCACATCTGTACAGGATCTAGCCAGAAGAGGCTTTCTCAACCATTGAGATGGTCAGAATTTTTTGACCAAAGTGTTTTTGTTGTTTTTTATGGAAAAATACCTTTTCTTGAAAATGAAAAAGTTTGCAAAAAAAAAAAAGTTCATTTTTTTGTTTCATTTTTCATTAATTTTACTATGTTTTAAATTGAAATCTTTATTGAAGACATTATTGAAACTCATCAAAATGGCTGTAAATTGTTTGATAATGGTCCTGATAACAATTTTGCTACAAAAATTAAAAATTTAGAAAAAATGAAAAAATCAGTTTCAAACCCTGCAAAAAAGAAACAGCTTTGACATTTCAATTATCAGTGTGATTTTTAATTTTTTTTTGTGACTACCTCTACATAAAGCTTAGTTAGCCAGTTAGAGTGGATAACTGAAAGAAAGCCATACCCGACCATATAATGTTAAAAGGGGGCATTTAACCTTAGCAGAAGTGAAAGTAAAATCAAATTGTGAGGAAATAGGCCTGATTCTTCATTAAGGGAGCAATGGTGAAAATAGAACTATGTTTCCTACTTCTGAGACTCCAAATGGACTTCATTCTTCTCTCCAGTATAAAACAGGAGAGAATGCCACTGAGTTACACTGAGATAAGTTAGAGAAGAATAAGGCATATTATCTACCTTTTATTTGTTTTAGACCACATCTAATGTTATTTCAGTAACATTATTTGCCCAGATTTGCCCTCTGAAA